CTTGTCATAAGGTCTTACAAGACCTTGTCACTTCTCATAACCAGATCTTGGGGGATCTTATAACAAGAAGTTACAAGATTCCATAAGATCTTATATTATCTTATAATAAGATCTTGTATGATCATATGGTAAGACCTTATTACAAGATTTCACAAGAAAACATCAGATCTTGCAAGGTCTTACAAGACGTGTTTCACCTGGGTATAATCACACCCATACTCAAAAAAAGTTTGATCTTAATAGATAACGTTTATTTAGGCCGTTGTGATCAGAACTATTGACAGTTCATACTAAACTATGATATTTCATTAAAATCGGATAATTGTGAGTGGTATACCGACATATATATCAAATAGAAATTATATTATCAACTATGCAAAAAAGAGATTAACTATTAATGCAGATTATTAATTATTATTTTAAATCTAATAGTTCTGATGTCTATTCTACGCATAGGAGATTCTATTGTAATTATTTTATAAAGATTGATACTTAAACATAGTCTTGGAATGTTCTCGTTAATATGGGAAGTTATTATATTTTCTTTTGTTAAAAAAATAGTCAAGAGCTTCCTCGATGCACTCAAATGACTAATAATAAAAAAATAAGTAGTTTTTTTTCAACTTTTGACAAAAGCGTTAAATTATTAGACATGATTGTGATATCTTTGGTATTGGTAACATATTGATCAGCCATAAAAAACTTGTGCATTTTTTGATTTTTTCTGAACATGTCGGACATAATAAAGATATTGTGCATTGCACTACATACTAACCAAGTTTAAATGTTCCATTGAGGTAGTCCAACTATGTCGTAAAGTCATATAGTTTTGTCCAATTTTTTTCATGAAAAACTGAGAAACTTTGTTTTTCCAGCGTCCGATAGTTTTTGACTGAATATAAGATTAGATACTTCCATAACTTACATTTTTACGAGATATGTACATTGTTTTGTATAGAATTAAGTAGTGCATTTTTCAAAAAAAAGAATCAAGTCTAGGCAGGCTGCGACATATACAAAAAACGTTGTTCAAGGATAATATTAATAATAGTAGGATTTATTCTATGCCATTCGTTACAAAAATGACTTCTTTGCTCGAACAGAGAATTTAATTAAAAAAATCGATGTAGAGAAACGACCGGCTTCAGCAATTCAAAGTACTCTTCTTTTCGTCGAGTTCTATGCTCTTTCAAAATATGCTTCGTTTTCTGCTTTAATAACAAACCTAAAAGACACTATGTACTAGAACACAAGAACGTGAATAAAAGTTTTGTATATTTTAAAAAAAATCAATCAAGCATAAATAGATTTCACCACTTCTAGCAAAAATGTCATTAAAAATTTTTCATAGGTAGAATAATGGATTAGCATCAATTCCATACAAGCCTGAACAAACTATTGTTTTATAGTCATTTCACATTTTTGTGCAGTATTATTTACATTTAGTGAATAAAAAAGTAGTTGATTTTTTACTTTTAATCATTTTGACCGGCTTGATGTTAGTACTTAACATGACAACAAACTTGCTTTGTTCGAACTAACCGTGTTGTACAGATGATTAAAGAAAAAATATTCTCCAACTCACAGTTTCACTCAAGGCAAAAAACTGCACTTCTTACTTACACTTGCTGCATTTATTAGAAAAACTTAAACAGTCAGTTATTTCTTCGAATATACGACAAATCGATTTAAAAAAAGTAGTTATCACAAAAAACTGTTCGTCAAAAGCAACCAAAACTAAAAGGAAAAACGTTTCAGGAAAATAGCATTTTTCAAACAAAAAACAGATTCAAGGAATCATTTTTCAACATCGATCACAATTGTACCTCATGATTTTTACAAATATTATTTTCACATAAAATTTTAGTAAGGTTTTCGATAATAAGTTGTTTAAGAGATTCATTGTTTATATTTATATTGAATGTTGGTGATGGAGAGATTGGTGTTGCTGGTATTGGACAATAATTATTATTGGTTTTTGGATATGGATAACAGTCTGGCGGTTCATATTGATTAAAATCCAAATCATTACGCGTTAATATGTCTGGTAGTCTACAACGAAAACGAAATATAAATTAATAATTTTATGGACACTCCCAGAAGACATCGATTTAAACGGCAGCATTCTTAACTGCCAATACGAGATACTTTTATCCAATTACGTGATTTTGAATTCAGTATCTGATGATACTTGTATTATAATGAATTTTAACCATAGGTAGTTAAACATTAAAGATTTTATACCTTGCCGTAATTGGAGATAAATCAAAACAACGTTGTTGTTGTTGTTGTTGATGTTGATGTTGATTTAATGCATAACAGTTACAAATAGGTTGATATGATTTATCAAGTAATAAATTTTGAACTGTGTAGCAATTATCGATGGATGATTTTTGTTGCATGTGATGGATATGAATTGGTGATAGTAATTGTTGTTGCTGATGTAGTTTAGTTAATTCTGATGAATATTTTATTCCATTATTATTTATGTGGTTTTGTTTATCTTTTGAATGAGTGTTTTTTAACAAATATAAATCGCCGGTTGGATATTTAACACTATAGGATGTTGGTGGAAAGGTTAACAATTGTGATGGTAATGATTGTTTATTTTTTTTATTTTTATTTGCTAAGCGACTACGTCGATTAGCAAACCATTGTCGAACTTGTAAATCTGTAATTTGGCCATTCAATGAAAAGAATTCTTTTTCGTGATCATTAGGATAAGGATGAGAAATATGCTCATTCCACCTAAAATAAAAAGAATGAAGTGTATAAAGCAAGAGAAAGAAGCGAAAATATTTGGTCAACATACCATTTCAACATTAAATTTGTGGCATGGTCAGGCAGTTTATTATGATACTTTTTTTTTTTTGACTTTTTAATTAATTCTCGATCGGAATCGAGTTTAAAGTCGTGTACTTGATTGTCTGGTGATATTAAATTGATTTCATGAAGTAGATTCGAATGGTGAAACTCGGTCGTGTTCTGAATTCAACAACAAGCAAAAATTACCTTCTTAAAGTATCAGCAGATGTGTAGATGTTTACTATTTTTTTTACACATTTTATATGCACAATATTTTCCGCATAATTACTCTGTTCGAAAAACCTTACACTCTACAAAAAAGTAATGCCTTTTCATAAGACACTTTTTTGTGCAAATAGGACTTTCTTACATTATACTCTTGTTCCAGTATAGACGACGCTGTAATATTTGAAAACTACAACGCTGTAACCTGGAACACCAAAATAGGCTTTCACTTCCTCTTTTTATCCTTCGTCTAATAATTAGAAGGAAAAGAGTGTTTTTTCTACACTGAGTGTATAGTAATGTATTGTGCTTGCGAATATTTTTACCACTTACCATGTTGTGATCAGACATATTGGTATTCTCTTCTGAGAAACGATTATCACTGGAATATATATCAGAAAAATCATTCACATGTACATTGTGTTCACTGGAAAACTGTGCACAAAATTTATCATCATTTTGTTCTATGTCGATGGATGATGATAATGGCGATGATTTTAAAATGTTTTCAAGCCAGGCAGTTTGATCGTCTTTATCGTTGCGAATGTTATTATCATTCGTTAAATATGATAAACTATTATCTTCATGAATTTTTACTGATGATTTTGATGTAGAATAATGAGGATGTGTAGTAGACGAGAATAATGGGGAATTAAAACTAAAAATGTTATTATCCATGATTTTTCAAGATTTAGCAAACTACAGTCTAAAATAAAATGCAACGATAAAGTGTGACATTTCTCTAAAAAGAAAAATATGTTCGATCGACGAAATCTGAAATCTTCGTACCAGAAAAATACCGTCGTTCAATGACACAAAAAGTAATTAATGTGATTAATCATTTATCACCTGTTTTTTTAACAGAACAAAATAATTCTCGAAATAATTAATTTACCGGTCGAATGAAAACAGACAGGAAAAGTTTTGTGTATCAGATAGCACTGAGAAAAGCATTTCTTAAGAAAACACTAAACTTTCATTTAGACATAAGTATTTGATAAACTTATCTCAAGCGAATTTATCGATTGATAGATCTTACCCCCAAAGAAAACTATATGCGGTAGAGAAACTATTTTTATTCAGTTTAGTTCTAACAACTAAAATTTTCTTTTCTACTTTTAATTTTTTTTTTCGTAATAGTCAGTGTGTAAAATGCGCACTAAGACGCACGTGGCTCTGCACATGTGATGTACAATCTATCTTAGAGAAACAATTCTTTTCTTCTTTTTAGACTTGACAGAAAAATCCAAACATGTGGATGGATAGTTTTCTCTTTCTGTGACCAAAAAACAATTGGACGATTGATAAAGTTCATATTTCCACGATGAAAGTGAGTTTTGTGAAGCAAATATTTAAGAATTCGCCATAGGCCTTAATTTTATCAGTTTAACGTTTTAGAACGCGTTGAAAATAATTTTCAAAAAATTCAGAAAATGTGTGTGAACCCGATTGTTTTTAGCCACCATGAGCTCAATCAAAATATGATAAATTATATATGGGCAGACAGAGCGTAAAAAACTATAACGACTGATATGTTCCGTTTTGCTATAGCTCTCACTTTCTTGCAAAAACTGGACGGTAGGAAGTTGACTTATATCCTCTGTTAAACCGCTATAGGTTGTTGAAAACTAAAAATTTAAAACTTTTCATATAAACTATGCAACTTCTATACTTCGTTTTTATAACATATGTTATCATGAAACCTCGAATTTTGTTTTATTCTTTAACTCCATATGTTTTTGACTGGATGAAAATTTAAAACAAAATACATGGTTTATTTAGTCCAAAGTGTCCTTGATTCTACTGTTTTTCTTGCTCCAAAAGCAGTTTTTAGAGTTTTTCATCAAAAGCTTTGGAAGCGTTATGCGAAATCTTGTAGCTTTTTTGATTTATAGGTAACATGCTCGCATAGATAAAAGCATATGCAGCATACGTGTGCGCACATGTGCATCGGAATCAGCATAGTCGATAAGCTCGGCCTTTCTCAAAACTATCTGTTAATAAACTTCTAGAGACAAACCTGATTTTTAAAACGAAATACGTATTTGTGTTTTTCTTAGAATCACTTTTTCTCAAAGTAGCATTTCGTAATCCCAGCATTCCGCGGTACGGTTAAATGATAGAAAGCTTGAGAACGCCTTAAATTAAAGCTAATGCCCGTGCCTAGAGCAAGAGAGAGCGGAGCTTTTTAGTTTCCTTCTAGTTCCAGGAATGACTTTGTAAGCTTTGACTTTTCTCCCGTGCTGTTTTTACGCAAAACAGAATATCGAAAACTGGCGTCTATCTTTTGGTATACATGAGTGTTCCTAGACTTTAAGATTAACTCGAGCTCTCTAGCATGCTTTCTAGTGCAGAAATCTTGTAACTGTAAAATTATTCATTTCGATGCGTATTTAAGCCCCCTCCCCCTCCGAGTAAGAAATCTATCTCAGCCCAGGTAGGTCTGATCTAAACTAAACTTTCAGGGAACGTTGACCATGTCAAAGTGTGGTAACGAAATTTCACTTTAGCGCCACTAGTAACTGTTCGTGAGAGGGCGTCACAATAAGGGCCAAACTAGGAGTCTACCATGCATAAGAATTCTAATTCCAGAAAAATGATAGAGAGCTCAGGCGGTTTTTGTTTTGCAGTAAATACTTATGTCTAGGAGTTGACAGAGCCCGATTTTTGAATTTCTCATTTACTTATTTCCAGTACTTTATAGAACTTTAAAGTTCGAAAAATCTGTGGAAGGTTTCTTAGAAATCCTCATTTCTATAAAAAACAGACGCATAATATAAAAATCGAATTCTGTCAACTCCTAGCAGTAGGTGTTATCTACAAATAAAAGACAGCAATTTTTTTTCTTCTATGTATCCTTACCGAGAATTCCTGTGTGTGGCGAAAGCCCTGCAGCTAAAAAACAATCTTAAGAAAAACGCAAAATAAGTTTGATCATGATTCTGTTAAATGCGTTTACTTAAAAACTGTTTAAGCGTTAAATAATTTGTTGATACTTCGCTGTAAGTTATCGGCCATGGCGGAACTAATGAACACGCGCGCGGGCATGTGCACCACATACGTGCGCATATGCAATACAAGTGCTATAGGGATTTTGGAAAACGCGCTCAAAACCTATAAAAAAGCTTTCCTATCTACACAAAAATTATTCCATTAGAAAGTGGACACTTTGAGCTATCCAACTATATACTTTTCTCAAAGTCGATGTTTTTGACGAAAATCGGCATTTCTGATCCGGGGGCTTAAGCAACATCCCAAGAACATTGATAGATGGAGTAGCTTTTCTTCAGTGCATTCTCTATCTTCTGAAAATTTCGTTTACGTCATGCTTATCGTTACCGAGATTGATTTCTGGCATGGGATATTAAATAGCATGATAAACAAACGTTACTTTCTATTTTACACAGTCAAATCACGATTCCGATTTTTGTGTCTCACATAGAAAATTGTTTCTAGCGGTTTTACCCATATCATTTTTCAAAGATTAGTTTGAAAAGTCGAAACGATAATTGCAATAAGGAACAAAAACTGAGTACAGAATCTAGCTATTATGTTAGTATTATTTTGGTTATTTTGAGATCAAGGCGAGTAGATTGATGAAAAAAGATTTAAATTGGATAATATTTAGCATTCTTGTTCTATTTCTAAATTGTTACATCGTCGTACTATTAAAGCTAGACAACTTGATAGCTTTAATAAAAGGTTGCGGCCGAAAATGGCGGTTACAGATCTTCAGTAGATCCTAAACTTAGTAGATGTTGACTGTTAGTAGATCCTAAACTTTCAAAAAAGTAGCTAACTGTAGTTGTAGCCAAGGGAACAAATAT